GATTCAAGCAGTCCGAGGTCTGTATGGGGGGGAGAGAGAGGAAATTGACTTCCTTTAGCTGTGGAGTGTTAAAAACATCTGGAGTCATACCTTGCTCTGGATCCTGCTGTCTGGCTGAGGCCAGATGTCAGGGATGTGACCACACTCCGTTGATGTTACTGGGTCTCCAGGCAAGGCGGAGGGTTTCCCAGTTATCGCTTCACCCGAGGAGCTGGGCTGTTATGTTCCTGTCTTGCTTTTCTTGTGTGAGAGAAAGGTGAGAAGGGAAAACAGCAGCAATGAATTCAGCTTGGGCTGGGATTACACCTGACAGACAAAACAGAGGAGATATCTAGCTTAGTTTCAGACACCTGCGGCCCTGCTTGTAACACACTCCCAAATTGCAGTGCTTTTTCTTCTGCTTTCATCCCGTATGCACATTGTTGTTGTTGTGGCCGCCATGTGAGGGGTTGAGCACAATAGCGCACGATGGAAATGTAATGCTTACTCCCATCCCTTTTTTTTTATTTTAGAAAAAAGTGTTTACACACCTCTTTGGATGTGCCATTTTCATTATAGGGTAAAGCTGTCGTTCTTAACTGGGTCCCCCCAGATGTTCTTGGACTACATCTCCCAGAAGTCCTGGCCAACGCAGCTAATGGTGAAGGCTTCTGGGAGTTGCAGTCCAAGCACATCTGGGGACCCTAGGGTGGGTTAAGGAGAAAGGAACCACACACCTGCCTGTGGTGTGGATACAGGTACAGAGGAAGAAAATGGAAGACGTTACAGCGATTGAGGGAGGAGCAAGGGGGAGGGGCCAACAGGAGAGTCCCAGAAGGAGAGGGCAAAAAAACGAACGGGTGGGGGGAAAAAAGATATTCTTGTACTGTGCACGTCTTCGGTGTATCTGTTAAAAACAGAACAGAAAAACAAATCAAACTGGGTGCCATTTTGAACTGGAGTAGGTGCGCAGTTTTTCTGATGTCGTTTCTTAAATGTTAGAAAAAGGTGTTTACGCACCTCTTTGGATGTGCAATTTTCATTATAGGGTAAAGCTGTGGTTCTTAACTGGGTTCCCCCAGATGTTCTTGGACTACATCTCCCAGAAATGTAGCTTCAGAAGATAGCCGTCTAAGCCTAAAATGTGTGAGAAGATAACTTCAGGTACCGGTGCAATGTAAAATGGAACATAAATTTGATTCCCTGAAGGCTCACAGAAGACCATGACAAAAGTGACGATAATTCAGTATTGGTACTGGACCTCTTGTTAAGTGGTCTATCTAGATTCTCATGAATCCTTTTTATATGTTAGGTTGACTAATATATGGCCAACTGACTGGGCTCTGAGACACCACCTCTCTTCCAGACTAGCCCTGGACACCTCCCTTGTAGGATTTTGCTTTCTACCACTGAGGCTGCTTTCCCATTGCAAAGCTATCATTCTTCACCTACAAGTCACTCTGAAAGGTGAATGCTGATGTTGGGTTTATACTGGTGCATTACTAGATGCTTCTACCCTCAAACCGCCGCCAAGAGGGGAATTTCTGAGCCCTCCGAGATAGATTTCTCAAGACACATTTCATCCTGCTTCTTTGCTGTGCCTTCTGACCTTTAGAAGACATTCAGTCTCACTCCTCCTCCCAGCATACGAAAGGAATTACAATGCCACTTTGGAACAACCGTGTCCGGCCTATTTGTCCTCTCATACAAATTCCCACGTTGGCTCTGGCAGTCTGGCTTTGCTGTTTATGGGAGGCAGCAGGGCTGAGTGGTAGGATCTGCTAAAGGCATACGTATATGGAAATCGAGATGCATATCGATCTTCTCCCACTGAACATGCCTGTGGAAAGTGAATGAAAAAAGGAAGTTGAAATTGGGAAAGCGAACGACCGAAAACAACAGAAAGGCCCGTCCTTTGTTTGACATGGGAGACGAAAGCAGAGGCTGCTCCGTTGGATGGCTCCTGCCACAACTGGCCGAGAGAATCTCTTTCTAAACCAACAAGGGGCAGACCCGCCGTTTCCAGTTTCCTGACTCTTTTATTCGCTGGCCGATGCCATTGCATGACAGCCAGGATGAGACGTGAACAAGCTAATCTCTGGGGAGATTAGGAACGGCTTATTGGCCACTGGGCCCCAGGGCCAGACAAATAATGGGACACACAGGGTAACAGAGAGAGGAGGGATTCTCTCAGGAAATTAACTTCTACAGAGTCAGATAATGGGTCCATCTGGCTTAGCGTGAACCAGGGTGGCCAATTATACCTCAAGAGAAAAGGATACAGATTTGCATAATTTTTTTCACATGCTAATTTATGTGTGGAGATCAGAGCTTGGAGATAGCTAGTTACAACTGGCTAGCGACTTGCCATTCTTTTTGCAGCAACTAAGGCAGAACAGTTGCATTGTGAGTGTTACCTAACAGGGAATAGTGTCATGATTTTTACTGTGGAACTGTTTTGGCTATAAGGAGCCTTGTGGCACAGCGGTTAAACTGCAGTACTGCAGCGAAGACCCCACTCACAACCTGGAGTTTAATCCTGG